CACTCTTTGATAATTTTTTTAAAATTTTGTACATAAATAAATTTTTTTACAGAACCCTTGTATAAATTGAAATTAATAAAAATGATTTACATTCTTTCACGTCAAAACGATTTTGCCAAAAGATTTACCTATTTTTTCTTTACTGTTAAGGCAAAAATGTATATTTTATTATTTTTTTAAATATTTTTTGTCATAGCAATTGTTTTTTTTATATATGCTTTTATTAATGAAAAAATATTATTGCACCATAATGACTATGACAAACTTTATAAACTTAAAACAAAAAAAACAGCACAAAAAACAATTATTACGCGCAAAAAGAAAACAATGAAATAAGAAAAGCTGCTTAAAAATGTTCTAACAATCATTAGTAAAGAAGGATATTATCTTCCTCTTAATATCCTTCTTTACTAACGATTGTTACAAAATGTGCTTATAAAATTATTTTACTTATATGTGTGTATAAAGTGTGTTATTGTTATAATAAAACAATTTTCTAAAAAATGTAAACTTTTTTTTCTTAATTTGTTCTTTATTCTAGTCTCGAAAAAATCTAAATACTTTTTCATAATCTTTGGTTTTATGTAAAGTTTTTTTTCAATTTGTAGACCAAATAGATGACATAGTAAGTACGGTATTATATAACCTCACAGAAAAATCTAACTCAACTGTTCACAATTAAATATTGTTTTCATAATATTTAAATTATAAAATGAGATTAAATTTATATAATTAACAATATTATGGTCGATGTTAATTTTATTGCAACAATATGATTGAACGCTGTGATTGAAGTAGAATTGGCAAAATGTTGTCATAGTAAGTGTGAAAATTATATTATGTTACACGAGGCATTTACAATACTCTGGTTAGCCCTCTACTCGATAGTGTCAGTGTCCTTTGGGACCCTTTTCAAGGAGTCTGCTTGTACAAAAGAAATGCTTCGTTCATCCGCCTTAACTGTATTTTACCCAACTCGTGGTTATTCTATATTACACCTAGCATTCACCCTTAAGCACATAGCGCACCTTCCTCTCTGTTCTCCTAACATCATAGCCTTAATGAAAAAACGAATGTATAAAGAAAATCTAATAATGTCGTTTTGAATCTGCAAGTAAAATGTACACACAGCGATTCATTAAGGATAAGACACTCATTTTTCCCTGAAAATAGTTGCAATTTTGTAGTTGTTCTTTTTGGAGACATTTTATTTTCGAATGTTGTCTAATACTGTAAGGCAACATAAATAAACATTTTTTTTCAAATAAAAATTACATTTAATTTATGATTATCCTATATGTGTCATTCATATAATTATTTAAAATAGTATTAAGTATCAAACAGTATTCTCTTTGAGAAAATGAAAAAAAACCAGGTTAAATTATTAGAAATGTGTTTGTATTATAAATTCAGAGAATTGTTGTGTTTGATCTATGCGGAACGAAATATGACTTATTTCCATTTCAAAGTTCAAATACGCCAATATTATAAATATATTATATATATAAATTTATAGAAGAGCTAACACAATATGCAAATACTTACTACCGCAGACCTTATACATGTTTTATACACTACTATGTGCACTAGTTTTACAAATAAAGGTACAATTATATTTTTATATGCATACTTATATTTATATTTTACTTAATCATATATATGATTAAAAACATATTATTGTATTAATATTTAACAAAGCGTATAGAAAAATGTTCATCCAATGTCTTTTTTTTTTAAGTCACAAAGCAATTTTTTTTCTTCTTAATTTAGATAATATTATAAATACAAAACAAAAATCTTGCTAACTCAACGGTAATAATAGTTAACGTTAGTTATTATTATTACTATGTGACCTATACGAATTAACTGCTTAATGACTTGATATAAAAAATGTATAATAATATTTACTATTATAAAGGTAACGCCCGCATAACGCGTTCGCCGAACTACCTACAAGTTTATATGGGCTATTTTTTCACTACGCGATCTAATTTTGTATATGTGTGTAAAAAAGTAAACATTAGATACAAAATATCACTCTAAGTTACACAAATTACGACCCACCGAGTACTATAACATTTATAGTATTGGGGCATCGCATTGAAGCACAATGAATAATAATTAAAATACATAACATAAGTCATGGAGTAACACCATTGGGTGACTTCTCCACTCAAGCTAAAATCATGTTATTGTTCTTGTTAGCTCTAATATTCATTGTTTCTTTGTTATAACGTACAACAGTCAAACCTAGAAACATCGTGCAAAAATTCACAATATGCCATGTTCAGTCGTCCAAAGAATGTTTGAAGTGACGAGATCAAATAGGTACAAGTGACATGTTTTTTTTTAAGCAATTTATAGACTTATATACAAGCACTGAGAAAAATACATAAAAAATGGTCGCAAGTCGAATAGCGAGTAACTCCAAAAGTCATTGTTTTTATTTATACAATAAATGGAAATACATAAGCAACGTATTGTACAAAAAAAACAAGGTGATCCATCTGATGCAAGACCCTCAGTTTCGTGGAAAATATGAATATTTAGAAAAAATTTTATTTTCCTACACATATTTTACTATATTTTTCAATAATTGGAAAATGTGTACTTATAATAATACAGTAATAAGTATGGACTTATTTTAACATTTAAAAAATGTTCAAAGTATTAAAAAATATACTAAAATATGTACTTATACAAGTGTAGAAAAAATTGTATGTGTCTTACATCGGATGGACCAACCTGTCTAGTTAAAATTTTTATGTGTTCAACTCAAACGTGAATTTTATATACAACTATTACGTCACGTCTACTGTATACTTAATGAAAGTATTATAGTTTTTAAAAATAAATAGCTGTCTCACTTCAATTCTGTCGGTCGATGCCATAAGTTATTGAGGTATTATAACTGACGATGAGAAAACGATCTACTTGAGATTAATGGAATTGACTTAATCTTGCTTCGAAATTTCTTACCTACCTACCTATTATGTTAACCTGCACGAGTACATTAATTAATCAAAAGCGTTAATATCTCTTGAGGGAACATAATATAAATCCGTTTTACAGTACGATTTGCATAATTAATGTACGAATTTTTAACAACCAATTAGCATTTTTTTAGTACACAAAAGAGTGAAAAATAAAAAGTGAGTCATAAAATAAAATTAAAATTCATCATGGCATTTTTAAAAGTGATTTTTTTTCTTATTTGCGTGTATAAGAAAATATACAATTTTTCGTAATAAACAGAAACCTAACCAAACGACAGCTATTTTACCATATAAAAATAATTTCGTTCCCTAAATCATATTGTTACCTTTAAAACATTGTTTAGTAAAATAAAGGGGGGGATAGTTACTGTGAGCGAACATATGATAGATTATTGATGTTCTATCACAAGTTCATGTTGTAGAATATTCAAATTTGTATCTTTTTTTTTTTTTAACGATTTACTTCAAATACACAATAATATGTTGGACTGTTTTTATCATTTTTGTTTGTTTTTCCTACGGCTTACCTATATCCTTTCAATCGATAGTAGTCTATTCAAATAAAAAATCCCTTAAACTTCAGATCAGGTACTTCCTAGTGATATATTTTTTTTTTTTGGCGCCTGATTAACGTGGGAAATTTTACATTGTTTTAAAAAATTCAAACTTAAATCCAAATCAATCAATTTGTTCAATTAAAAAAAAAGATTCTTACAGCTGAAATATGACATTTGAAAATCCTTCTCCCGTTATTTTGTGATAACAATTTTTTTTATAAGGTTTTTATCTTATTAGCAGTTCTATCATTTGCGACTGGCTGTAACTTAATAATAACAATTTTTTTGGTGAAAATATCACGAGAATGACTTTTTAAATAATTGTAAACATTTTGTTTAGTTTTATGTAAGAATTGTTTTTTTTATGAAAAAGACAAACATTTCCTTATGTATTTATCAAATGCAATGGATCTGAAATTTTAGGGATATCTTTTTAGTATATGTTATTATTATTTGGGGCGGGGAGGGGTGAGTGAAACAATGAGTTCTTTTAAAAGACAATATTGTGTATATACGTGTATACCTACAGCGACACTTGTTGCTTTTTATTCTATACTGTCGGTTTATGTACACCACAAGGTTTATTGGGCTATAGACATTATATTAGTATAGCATATATTTATATTTTATGGATATTAACTGACTATAAAAAAAATGTTTTCTACCCTCCGAGTCGTTTTCATTTGTCGAAAATGAGATTAAAATGTTTAAAAGGACAACTCCAATAAATATATATTTTTATAGATATTCTAGTAATATATGAATATTCTATAAAGATAAAAATGTCCATATTTTTATACTGATATAAAATATAGTTTCCCTCGCATTTTCCTCATTTGATTGACACATAAAAAATATGTTTGTTATTAAAATCGTCATAACTTCAAAATGTATAAATATTTGTTTAAATTTAAAATCAAGTTTACTAATTAAGTTGTATAAGTTTTTAATGGAGTGTATTAGAGTAATGGAGGATAATTATTCTTAACAAGGCGATTAGTATTTTTGTTGAATGTCTATAAAAATCACACACGAATCTAATATTGAATAATCGACAAGTATGTATTTGGTTTAAGCTTGATTTGATGTAAGATTGTATATTTTTTAAATAATTATAAATTTTACGTGCAACATGGAGACTAAGGGGATCAAATAAAAATCTAAAAAAAATTAAGAAAATATTTTTTTAACATTTTGAGCCCACTGATAGGTATCCCCGGCGTGGAATTTCACAAAACACCATTATACAAAAAATAACCGACGGGTATATAATATATATATATATACTTGCTGTGGTGGTACACCTGCGTGTCTACAATATTTATATGCACTCGTTTACGGTGTAGGATATTGTATAAAATATATATACTGGATATAGATACTATGTATATGTTTTTATACTATGTAATAAATATTAAAAGAACGATTATTATTATTGCATTCGTACCATTGTAGTAGTTGAATTATCGCCGGACGAATAATTTTTTTTTTTTTTTAAATAATAAAACTAAACTAAAAAATTACAATAATAAATTTGAAGTAGAAAAAAAAAATAATACAAAACGACTGTAATAGAAACGAAACGGTCGGCACGCACACGCCAGATCCGGTAACCGAGCGAACGGTTCGAAAACGCCAAACACACTGAAACCTATGCCGCACGACGGTTATGCCAAAGGGGCCCACCGCGGACGGCGTAAGCGCAACCGCTCAACCCTATAGTATAGGTATACTATACCCATACGGTATACCCATTTTCTGTGTGCACTAAAATCTCACCAGGAAGTCGAGGTGTTTACTTATTATCAAGTTTTCGAGGGTAAGATGTCCGCCAGTGTCGGGCAAATTCTTATTCTGTCCGGAAAAATCTGGCCAAGTCTAAAATTGTTTAGAATTTTCAGTATACAAAAATTCAAATTAAAACGCAAATAAGAAATGGGATTGTTGTAATTCTGAGCGGTAGGCAACAGCGGGTAATGTGGCAGAGGAAAAATGAAAGCAATGTTTGAACAATAAACACAGTTAGAAAAAAAAAATACACGTTATTTTAAACTTTATTTTAAATGATTACTCAACATTACAATCAAAAAAAGGCCTCGCGGTAACCCGTGAACGACGTCGACGCGACTGACAACCGGGTAAATTCCAATGTTCATTAAAAACGGCACCGGTCGCCGTATCAGGAGGGGAAAATATATAAATACATACAACACATTTTATTATTAAATACAATATTACCACAAGATATAATTTGTTTTTTTTATTTCAAACATGGATTAATCTTTCCCGTAAACTTTAAAAACCAACAAATTATTATAATACAGTGTGTTCCACAAAGACCTGATAAATGATAAATAACTTTGTTTCTAGTAGATATTTGTAATTTTTTTTTTTAATTAATTTATACTCGTTTGCACAATAAACACTGTGGATAAGTATTAATCTTAACTGTTTTACATTTTTTTGATTATTTTTACTTTAATTTTATTACATTTAAGATAGCCATTGCATTAAGAATAAATTGCTGGAAATGTTGACTGGTCGACAACTAGTTTTTAAGTTTAAAGTGAAAATTGGGTGGTGGAGTGAGGTAGAGTAATGCTTGCAGATAACTTTACGGCTCTCCACCTTCTATCCTACCTTTTCACCTTTAATAAATTAAAAAGTAATTATCCAAAACTGGTTATCGACCAGTCAAAATTCTCAGCAAATCATTTTCAATAAAATGGCCATCTTGAATTTTTTTTTTAAAACTGACTCGGGACAGTTTTTCCTGAGCACCATCAATTTGGTGTATACAGGAAGTGGGTTGTGTGTAAGGACTAGTGTGCATAGAAAGGCATTGTATACTTGGACGGTTTTCATGTTAATGGGCACAAGTCAATTTTTGACATTTTTTTTTATTCGCCGATTTGTAAGAAATTTAAGCCCCCCAACTGTAACACTATTACTTACACATTTAGCTTTATTATAACGGTATTTTAAAATGCGTTTGGTCACTAGTCGATATTAGTGATTTTATCCTTAAGTCATTCATTGCACAGGGTGATCAATTTAACGCAAAATACTCAATTTCTCAGAAAGTAAAAACAATTCTAAAGTAAAGTAATTGGAGAACCTGTCGAAAATTTCAACAATTTTTTTTCTTAATTTAAAAAGGCGAATTAGATATTATATATGTTACTATTTTAAAAAGCTCATAAGCTATTACCATACATAGGTTATAAGGTTATATTTTTTAAAAAAAAAATATGAAAAGGATAATAATTATAGCCAAATTTATTCTAAGATAAGTTATGGAAAATAAATAAAAAAGTTACATTTTAAATATTGTCGCTAAACATTTCTTCAAAAAGATAAAAGCAAAAAAAATGCAATTATTTAAAAAAAAAAATAGTTTCTTAATAAGAACGAATCCTCAATAGTAAATTCAGTTAAATTATTATAAACAAACATTCCCAACAGCTAATATCGAACAATAACTTATAAAACAACTCTAAACACATATTTACAATTATTATATTGTAATGTAAAACGTTAAACTAATATTTGTGGATTTTCCAAGACCTTGTAACTAATTCATCTACCGTTGCCATAGGGCAGTATAACATATGAATAGTGTTTTCCGTACTTATATTATATATACCTATAACAACGAAACAAAGATACAAAATGCACATTTAAATTTCTAGGGTACTTACGTTCTATACAAATTCGTGTACCCAACAATACCTTAGTATGTCAAGCACAAAACAACCACTTTTCAAGATATACATATTATAGTGGTTTTGCATTTTAAGGCTGTAATTTATATCATATAACTTACAACTTATATGCACATCAAAGTCGTGGTCTTATGAATCCGACTGTCTTTAAGGCAGTGTCTCATATCTGTCATATGGTTTATATTTTCTGTCGTTTTATGTATTAATCACGCATTGCACTTACCATATATTATATATACAATATGTATATATACCCGACCCATGCATTACCAGGTAACATAACAACCTGACTTACTTATAGAGACGGTATAAAATTACATGCATTATATTATACAATAATAAACAAAACACTTGTTTAGCACTGTACAAAAGTACACATTAAAAATCGTAAACGCTTCGAGAAGAAATTGAGTAGCTTAAAAGTGCACGTTTTCAAAATAAATCAACATATTTCGTATTATTAGTACCAGAATAATAAAATGTAAACAATATTATAGATTTTAAAAATGTGCACATAATATATTGCAGCGTGCTATATTAAAAATTTAATGAAAATTTTGTTTTTTTTTTAACTATAATTTCTGACGACTTTGTTTTCATGGCGTATACTATGTTTGTTAAACTTTATTTAGTAGTATACTTACCAATCTTTGTTTTATTTTTGTATAAAAAAATTAAAATAAATATTTACAATTGTCTTCAACAAACTTACCTATCCAAACTAAATTAAAAAATAATATATTTATACTATAAAACTAATTTTTGTTGTTTAATTATATTTATAAAATAATATGAAAAGATCACTGAAATATATACATTCAGATCTCAATAAAACATTTTTTTTATTTAATTCATTCTCATTTTTCTAAATATTACAGATGCGCGCTCTATTGGTGTCTACGGTAAAATATTAAATAATATGGAGTGGCTTAAGTACAGAAAAAACCTTTCAAGGCTCAAGCTGTACATATTATTTTTAAGAAAATATCATCATCTTAAATACGTTAAATTGGATAGCCTTATTTCAGGTTTTTTATGTATCATAAATAGTATAATATATTATTATTATTTTCTATATGTTACAAATGGGGTGTTCAGAATTACATGTAACACCTCAATTTTTTATGATTTACTGAAATGTTACCTAATGTATACATTTAAGTATTTTGTTTGACGGATAGTTAGCTGAAAATTCAGACTAGTCAATAATCAGTTTTGAATCATTGATTTTAAAGTTATTAGAGTTTAAAATATAGAATGGGTGGTGAACTGCGGTTGTATAATGCGCGCAGATAAAAATAATACTACACTGTACCCTTCCTTCCGTTTTTAATTTTAAACTCTTTTTAATTCAGTCAATTTTTAAGTAAGAAAATAATTGTTTGGGAAAAGTTGTTTAAAAATAATATGCCTTTCCACATCCAGTGTCAAAAAAGGAGATTTCCATTTAAAAAAAAAAAATGTTGCTTTTAGTGCAAATGCGCGCCAAAATAAAGTTGGTAAAAAAATGTTTCTTTGTAATTATATGTATTTGGTTTTACTTCATTAGTTCCACGAAAAAAATCTACACTGTACAATAAAAATAGATATTTTGATTTTTTTATTATAAATATTAATACAAAAAATGGTTTAAGAATTTTTTTTAAATAATCAACCTGTATTAATGAAACAATGTATGTAAATTGTTAATACGGAATACCTAGTATATCTTAATTGTAAGTTGTTAATTCACATTTATCTATGTATAATATATATTTTCGGCAAGTGTATCTAATTAATGAATATTTTATAGAGTTAATGTGTTATCATTTATAATTATTGCCAACTAAATTGAAGTGCTTAAGAATTGCATTGTAAATATCTTATAAGTAATTATTTTACGTTGTGTATGAATAAAATAAGTAAATTTAATATTTTAAAAAGTTGTTGAAGCAATTTTTTGATAAAAAATTCCTCACAAATTAACCATTAAAATTAAAAGTTTTTTATTTGTAATAGCTACCAATTACTTCTCTATTAAAATTTCGATTTAGAAGTAGCAAGTACTGATATTTATTTGTGTTTAATAAATCCAAAAAAAAACATTTTTGTCAGATATTTTTAAAACTTTCTATTTAATACAGCGACAAATATAAAGCTAAGAACAAAATATAGTTATAATAACTAAGAACACTGAGAAATAGTGCAAAAAGTAGTATTTCAATGTGACATAATGTACAAAATTTTCAATGATTTTAAATAGCATTCGGCGGTGTGTATTACATTATTAATTAAATTCCTAACCTTTAAAATATCTCCAAAGGCCGTACACGTTATCATCATTGATAAGTGATAAGGATATCTGAGAAAGTGAGGTTATGTCATGAGTCCAATATTATGGTGGTGTTATTGGCAAATTTTGAAATTTTGTTAAACCGCATACATTTTTATTCACAATTTCGTTTAATGTTATCTATAACTTATAAGTATTAAGTACACAAGTTGAATTTATAAGTACTGAGTACAGTGTCATTATTTAAATCTTATTCGTTCATTAGTTATTCGATTCAAGTAAGTCGTCATGTTTTATTTATTAATATATAAAGTAACATAATATAAATTATATTGAAATTATCAAACAACCTAAGAGGTAGAAACCACTTACTATCGGAAATTATTTTATCTGCAGTGTCTATGATCATTATAGAGTAAACATGTATATAATATGAATATAATAACAACCATCATTGACCCAAGTTGCAGACCGCAGTGAGTTAAAGGCGAGATGAATTAATAAACGTTTATCGAAGGATTCCATCATTATACTATTGGAGAACACCGATACATTTTGTTCTATTCAAAATAGTTATCAGTTAACATTAATTAATGGTGACACTGATTTCTATAATATTATATAGAATAGATCGTTCATTATGAACTGAGCCATTTGACTGATTTTCTTAGCCTTATCCGGTACAAATGGGATCGGCCAGCTAAATTTGCTTTTTTCCATATCATCAAATGCTGTATAATTCTACATGTTATCTACAAAATAACATATTTTCTTATCTCATTCATTGTAAAATTGTGTGTTGTCATTTTTTAAAAACTTTAAAATTTATTTAATTTTAAGTTTATTTGCTACTTAGATTTTTTCATTGGAATGTATGAAAACACTTTAAATTAGCTAGTAACTGATTAACAATATGTTATTAACCATAATATAATATACTGCAATATAACATCTACAAAAAAAATCCGACAATAATGAAAACAGTTTGAAAACGATTGTAAAATATGCTGAGGCTAGTATAATATTATAAACATTATTTAAATTGATATTTATTATGTACACAGAACCAGCAATGAAATCACAAAGGCAACATAATATTGTGATTTATGATTTATTACAGCAATTATTTTGTTCATTTTTTAGAAAGTAATATTATTATACTATGTGTAATATAGATAGGTATGCTTAGAAGGTATTGCGATAAAGAGATGAAACAATTTTTCTAACATTTTCTTGATTCATTTTTAATAGCTTTCATAAAAGTTATTGGGGAAATAACAGAATTTTTCATTAAATGAGGTTAAAATAACAATAAATAAATAATAACATACACGGGGAGTTAATAGTAAAAACTAATAAAAATAGCCACAAAATATATAATAATTAGACTATTGTAACCATTGAAGGAAATTCATTTTTTTTTTAAATATTTTAAAGATACAGTATGTATAATACCTATATTAATTATTAATACTAGATTCCCGGTCTGCACAAACGGGTCTATCTAATATTTAAATTCATTCATGGATAACATCTGGAAATAGTGTTTAAAAGCGATAATTTTCCATACATTTTTTAGGACATATTATTTATTTCTATTTACTTATGAAAAGTAGTATTTCGTATTATAACTTGGCACCGGAGCTTTGTGCACACTGGGATTTAAATTACAGTCGTCAGCTATACACATTATTAATCAAAACAAATTGCTTTTAGCCATACTATAATACTTAAATATCTATAATAATAATACTAATAACTATTTCCTAAATTTTTTCGACAATCTATAACGTAAAAGGAAAACTTTTTAGTTATTTAATTGAAAATGTTAATAAATATTTTTAAACTGTACAATATTTCATGTAATATTTAAAATGGCTGACTCAATTCTAAAAATAATTTTTTAAGAGAGTACTAAGCTATCCTACGGAGAAAGATTTAATAATAAAAATTCAAAACGGATTTAAGGGAGAACTTTTTTTGACTAGATTGACCGATATCTCATAAACGCCTAGAATGTCCGTGTCGTCGTCTTCTCTTATACGCAGTACATAATATTTAATCAAATTATTAAATACCTACATTTTTATGCGTTATGATAAATTTGTATTAAGAAAAAGAAAAAATAATTAATAATTTATGGGAATTAACAAAAGAGCTAAGAAAACTGCATCACGTATGGTATCGTTATTCTTGTTGTTTGTTTGAATCCCTGTCGTCTGTGTTACCAAAACTCAATTTTTTTGGAAGCATCGGAGAAGTGCGACGGGAACTGTTATTGCTTTCTGCACTCAAATGTTCGGGCGATGACGATTTACTTTTAGATTTGAAATGCATTTTCGTTGCCATATGTCTAAACCTTTATCGATAAATTTAATCAATTTATTAGTGTACATTTTTTTTTTAATAATCACATAATTATATAAATATTAAATTTACCTAATGGGCACGTCGTTTCCTTCTTTATCGTCAAATACATTTTGAAAAAGAAACGCTAACGGCCAACTTATCCATGAACCGCTATAAAAAAAAAATATATATATATATATATATTTATTATTTATTTTATTATATTAAAACATAGGTAAATTATTGTTATTCATTTTCAAAATTAGGTTATAATTACGGCGGTTGCGTTATTGTATCGTCTCCATCACAAGGGGTTATCGACAATGTTTCGTCGTCCATAGAACTTAAATGTGTTGGTCGTCGTGATCCTGGAGATGATCTAGCAATTTTTGGGTTGTATATCTTTGGATCGCTAACCATGCGAACAAAGAACGATCTTCTATAAGCCAAATCATCTTTTTTCTTACGATCGGTCAACTCAAATACTTCATCTACTTGTTCCTTATTAAGCATAATGTAAAATTATTTAAAATATTATTATCATTACAATATGAACACTGCAGTAGCCACTAATTAATATATATATATGATGCAAATACAATATTCCTAATTTCTTTACTGTCAATATACCGCTTAATACAGTTTATTGTAGTGTTGGGTGTTAACATTAATTTTTAGATGAAAATTTAAGATGGTAATCTGATAGAAGTTAATTTAACGTCTTATGTTTTTAGAAAAGTCCAATTTGCGGCGATGTTTTAAAATGTCATAAGATTTTCATTGCGTTTTATTCTCTAATATTTGTAAATCTGTTATTAAAGCCTAAAATACTTAAAAATTTTCTGTTTAGGGTGAGAAATTTAGGAGTACAAATACCTAATCATTATAATTAAAGAGTGTAAGTGTCAAACGTTCCAAGTGCCAAAGTATAAAAATTGTACTTTAAAATTTGATTTGTATTTTATTCATTACCGAAAACAATTTTGTAAATTTTTCAAGTAAAGAATAGTTATTTATAAAAAAAACAATCATATTTAAAACTCAAAAATATGTTAAAGTATTTCCGGTAATGAATAAAATACAAATCAAGTTATAAAGTTGAATTTTTATACTTTGACACTTGGAACGTTTGACACTTTCACTCTTCAATTTATCTAATTACTATTTTTGTGTTTACATGTATTGATAGACGAGCTTTCGTCGTTGTTTGTAGTTTGTACTAGAAATACAATAAATATATAAAATATATAACACATATAATTTTACATAAATTCTTACTTCACGTTTCTCATTGTCAGGAAGTTCATTGTACAGAGTTGTGTCGACGGTTTCCCTTATAATTTTCCAAGCAGTATCTATAACACATTTTGTTGCGAGGATAAAGATACTCGTTGATTATTTATATATTATATTTGTACATATAAATATATTTTGGGTCTAAAATTAAAAATGAGACATCTAAACGTGTAAATTAAAACATATTTTTTTATTGTACAAAAAATATAGATTTTGTAAAAGTTGAAAAAGTTATATAAAAAATTCAACACGGAACTTAATGGAAAATAATAACTTTAAAAGCTCATTAGGTAAAAATTACAAAAAATGAAGTTGGCCTATTATACTTCATTTTATAGATACGTGGTGGTTATTATTTTAAGTTGATTTTTGTTGATTTATTAATATAAAATGTAGTCATTTCCAGTTACAATATTATTTAGATTATTTTACATTAAAAAAACCATAATTATATTTTAAAAAAAACGACCATTCGATTTATATAAAATGCCTAACGTTTTTACCTATTCTACTTATTTCTTTTTTATTTATTGGAAGTATATGATCAGTAGGTACTACAATTTATTGTGGATTTAGTTAAATAAAAAGTTACCGATATCGTCTTCCGTAGCATACTCCGACACTACACAAAACCTGATGACGTACTTGTCGCGCACTAAAGCCGGCACCATGTGAAGCGTTCCCGATTCATTAATGGTTTCTAAGAGCTTTTTGTTTAGTTTGTTGCACGGATCGTTTTTCAGGCGAAAACAAACTAAGCCCATCTGTTAAAAAAATAAATCAAATAGTAAAAGTTGCACGGTCTTATTTCTGGTTTCCAGATCGACTGTTACCTTAACGTCGTTGGAAATTTCGTATTTGCTGTCGCTTCTGACTAGTGCTTCGAATCGCTTTGCCAGCTGACAGTGCCGGCGGATGTACTGTTGAATGCCCGTAATACCGTACGTCCGCAAAACAAACCAGAGCTTTAGAGATCTATAACGTGGCAATGGGAGAAATAAACAATATTCGTCACACGGTTTCCTGAATTCGATTATAACGCGATTTCGACATACCTGAACCGTCTGCTCAACGGCACTCCCCAATGTCTGTAGTCGATGGTACCGGCGTAGCCGTGTTGTAAATACAACGGATCCACCACCAATGCACACGTTAGTTTATACCGGTCTTTGACCCAGAGACACGAACAGTCGAAGTTGGTCAACATCCATTTGTTGGTGTTGAGGTTAAAAGAGTCTGCGTTCTGTATGCCGTTCATCAGGTAGCGGAATTCCGGACAGATAAAAGCGCTTCCCGCGTACGCCGCATCCACGTGCATCCAGACGGTGTCGAACTGCTGGCACACTTGACTGATTTCCGCGATATTGTCAAACGAACAGCAAGAAGTCGTTCCCAGTGTGGTAGATACAAAAAACGGTATCAGACCCATGGCTCCGTCTTGTTCCATCACCTGCGAAATATGCGTCATAGTAATGAGTATGTAATGTGAACTTAGATGTGAAACATAGGATTCAGTGCGGTTAGATCAAGTGGAGAAAAACGTCAAGTGTTCTTAAAGGTAGGTTCTACTCCAGTGTGGGAGACCGACTACGTTGTATGGTTTGCAGTGTTGGACAGTAGGTAGGAAAATAGAACTCAGAAGTGTAACGGAGATAAGAATGCTTAAGTGAGTGGAATGGCTAGGCAAGATAGGATAAGGAACGGTTACATAAAAGGTAGCATAGGCTACATGGTAACATTACATGGTTTAGTCATGTTATAAGGAGAAAAAAATCAAAAGCAGTAAGAATGTTAATGAAAATAGACGTAGGCGAAAAGAGGGCAAGAGGAAGACCTTAAATAAGGTGGTTGGATGCGATTGAGAATGATAAGAGGACTGCTGGTGTATGCAAAGATAATGTGGAAGATTGTGTCGAGGAAAGGTTTAGGACAATGTTGGCCGTCCCTTAATAGTTTGGGGGAAGGTGAAAGAGAAGAAAAATGTGAACATAGCAGTGACTCTGGCAGAGATCGGAAAAGGCAATGAAGCATTGAAAGAGGCAATTTACAACGAATGTAAAAAGAAGTAGTCTTAGGTATAAGGTTACGATTAACTGTTTTTACCTAGGACAACCCTACAATAGTTAGGTATCAAATGGAGGTAACGAATACGGAGCTCATGATTATGGTAACATACTTACTTGACTCAATGTAGCCCCCCTCAAACTATTGTTTTCATCGGTTTCGAGAATACGGAGCTTAACAAATGCCATCATGGCGCCTTTTTCTACACACGAATGCGCCTCCTTTGAACAGTAAGCCATCAGTTTGGATAGCAAAACTCCTTCTTCGACGAATGGGTATATTTTTCGCAACCTCTTGATGGCTTGCGCTCGGGCGGCCAACATGCAAACGAAAATGCATTCACTCGCCGAGCCCTGCAGCAATGATGAATAGTATTATTATATTGTATTAACAGTGGTGTGATATTTCGATAGCATAGTGCACTTGGATATCTTATAGCATAGTACACATTGTGCACGCATATCGAAAGACTGAACCAAATAGTTTTACTGTTAATTGCCAGAAGTTAAATCCTGTAAAATGGTTAAAAACGCATCTGTGCACTATGCCATCAAGTCGGTCTATATTGTTTACTTGGATCACTCCTCCGCCTTTGCCGTCGGGCACCATTTCAGGCTCGCTTTCGCAGTTGTTACGCATTGCATTGTCCAGCACGGATTTGGTTGTTTCGCCCGGGAACATCAAAAACTCTTCTGGCAAACCGATAGCCTTGCCGAGCCAATCCAAAACTATAGTTTCTAGTTCTGTGCACGAAGGACTTGCGGCCTTAACGGATTAAAATCGGTCATTTGCTTACTCGAGTTATTTACAAGGTCATTTCGCGAAAAGTGTTCAATTTCAAGATTAAAATTTTACAAAAAAAAAATCCTATTTTCTATCATTTTAAAGGTCAAAGTCAAAAAAAGGTCGTCGTAGTAACATTTTTGTTTGTCATTTACCCAATAAACCCATAAGCCCAATTTCAGGGGTGTGAAAATTCCCATGGACGCAGTGATGGTTTTGTTTGTGAGGTGGCCCGTTCAAAACTAGTTCAAAACTAGACAGAAGCGTGAGGTGTCAATGATGTATACACTTTAATTGTGATCCTTATAGTTTACCGTTGATTGAACCATTCGGGACTAGCCAGAGGTGTGAGGAAGTGGCTATTAATTATTTTTTTCATCTTTATTATCAAAGCATAGCTAACGATTCTAATTGACCCGTTTTGCTGACCTGAATACACCTTAAATGGACACTTATGAAATATTCCAAAAATAATGACTCATGATTTGCCACGCATACACATGTAGCACTTTCGGTGAAATGACCCATGTATGTATGTGATATAAAAGGTCAGTTGTAATAATATTATAATATTATCAAAATTCCTTACCCACGAAAATCCTATGCACGCGATAGAATTCGTTAGCATATCGGCCAAGATAGACGGAAAGGAATTGCCCGATGGAAAATAAGCGTGAAACCTCGGGTGTTGCCAATGAGTTACCTGTAAAACATAAAATTTACTTCTATAGCTAATATTGTATTATAATATTAATTATTTGTATTTGTTTGTATTTTTTCAGATTCTATAATTGAAAATTTATCATTGCAAAGGATCGACGTTGATTGTGATTAAATGTAACTGCGTTTTCCATATAAGTGAGTAATATTTATCAATATTGTCTATTATCGTTATTTTCAACATTGACTCAATAAAATAATTCGTATTCCGTTATTTTTCGTGTAAATTATAATTATAATACAGTGAAACTTGTAGATATAGAACATTTTTTTTACACATACATACATACATACACATTTTAATTTAAAACTAGTAAAAAAATGAGCTTTGCTCCCCCTTCCTCCAAAAAAAAAAATATATATATATATTTCTATATCTCCGTCAAATCTTTTCGTATTTATCTGTAACAAAAAATTAAATGTAAAAAAAGCTTTTTGTGTGAAAAAAGATAGGTAAATTATAATTTTTTATTCTAAGTCTGTAAAAACCAGCAGGAGGCCTGCTTTTTTAGTTGATACAAACTAAGCAAAGCCTCGCTTAATGAGAGATGGTTTATAGTTTTATGTTTAGTTTGCTATTTATTGATGTACGTTTAACAAATAACCAATATTTTCATAAATTAAAAAGTTAAAAAACAATTAATATTACAGTCATAAAAAGAAACCTATAAATACAGGATGATAGGTTAATACTGTTAACCTAGTCAATGTCTTAGAAGAAATCAGACTTTTTAAAATTATATATATATATATACATCCTTATATAGTAAGTAGTTCGACCAATATTTTTAAAAATATAACCCCATTTCTTATTTGTCAAACCCTTATTTTTTTTAAAAACAGATTTCAGCATTCCCAGCTCTTTTTGTTTGCATTTAGTTTAACGCAACGGCCGTGTATGAAACTATTTTTAACGCGCTTTGGTGTTAAAATACCTACGTTTAATAATGTTTCGGTGTTATTGCAATATATTTTAAGTTTCTTATGATATTATATTATACATTATTATTATATTGCTCACCCCCGGCATAATGACTCTTTCCACGTCGTCCATTATGTCTTTGAACGACTCTGGCTGTACGGGCGCTTCGAGTGGAATTTTTGTTTTCAACCAACCCGGGCTGACCGTGGGCGTCACTCGTCTGTCCTTTATCGTCTCCAAATACTCGCATATATAGTCCACCATCTCTTTGCCGTACTTACGAAACTCTTCCGTGTCCATTTCAGGGAAAAAAAATCACCGGGTTTTCACCTTAATTGTAAAATAAAAACCAATTATTAACGGACGTGGGTGGGGTGTAGGGAGACGAAGCTGTTTTATTTTATAATATATTCGTGCGGGGAAAAAAAGCCAGACCTCGAGTATAGAATGGTCGGCTAATTTATTTCCCTCCCCCTCCCCATCCTCAACCCAAGACCTAAGGTATAATAATACCGTGGGTTGTCATACGCATAAGAATCAAAATATTCGGATTGGCAGCGACCACTCCAAGTCAACTACAGAATATTTTTCCCGCCTTCTTATTCATCCGAGTTTCTCCAATTTTCCTCCAAGAGGTATTTTTCCGCGGAAAATTGAAGGGTGCGTTTTTAATTAAATCCACCATCAGAATATTTTTCGATTTGCACGCTGTTAACACCTAATAGATGTCTCCTCGTGAATGCTCCCCCCCCCCCACAACTACCCCGTACGGTATTCTAAAATACGTTTTCCCAGACTCGGTGCAAAGTTTTGTTAAAATATTTAAATCTGTTTGTCGAAAGTTTGTAGTAATCAAAGAAACTAGTTCAGCACATTTATAGCCGATAGAATTTGAATAAAATATTATTCACTTATTTATATTAAATTAATGTAGACGTACTACCTACTTATTATAACTTATTTATGTTATCTTATATATTTTATATGAAAAACTGAAAAAACCTGTGTCAACTTAACCTAGTAAAGCAGCTTAAGAACTCGTTTGTCTTTATATGATCAAAATACGACCTAAGTAGTCGACATTTTTCAAGCTTTTTGGTCTAAAAAATTAAAAAGAAACCAGACTGCTGGTAAATATAAAATTCAATGGCATTTTTTTTTACTTCTTTTACCTAAACGTATAAAATAAACGTACATGATGAAATAACAACAAAATATAATAAAATCTACTTCGGATGTTGGAAAAAAGTATATAATTAATAAATTAGACCATTTAGTATATGATTTTCTTTTTTATAAAAAAAATTAAAGAATCCATTTAAAAAAAAAAAAATTATGGTACGTTACGAACTTTTGTTTGAGTGTTACTTAAACTTAAATGAACTAAAACTCGACCATTTATTATTCTCATAAAAAAAATTGTCTTGTTTAATTGCAGGTTTAAAGTTAATAGTAACCTTTAAAAATCATTTAACACTGTATTTAATTACTAAAAAGTTGTTTAACATAAAAGAAGTAATAGGTATGTTTATTTATTATTTTATAATGACATCCGAAATTTAAAATAAATTATTATAGTGATTTAACAAAATGTTTTTTTTTTATGCGTTTGTGGTGACTTATTAGTTTTTTACCATAGGTAATAGAATGTACTATGTAATATTGTGTTTTAAGTATATAGTACAACATTTCTATTATCTAAGGAATTTTTTGCAAACAATTCAAATGTCTTAGGTTCATAATGAGTTAAATTTTGGTACTCATGTGAACCTATAGCACAATCCAAATATGAGCAAAAATTATGAGGAGATATTAAATAACTAAATCTAACGATTGTAGGATTTTGCCTCCATATAAAAATGTATCTGTTAATTATACACGTTAAAGGCTATATGACAAAAAATGATTATTAACGGTTTTATTTAAAGCAATCAAGCATTTAAACATGTAACTCCAATCATCGAACGCGTTCTGGCCAAGATATATACACTTGCTCGTGGACCAAAAAAAATATTTATACCAGTATGATAATATGTTTATTTTTATTGGTTAAATCGTTTTGCACTTATTAAAAGAAGAAAACAATTTTCCGAGTTACCATTTCCGGAACTTTTATGTAAGATTGTTCCGGAAGTTCAATAAACTCGGTGAAAATTTTATTTTTATTTTGATGTGAAAAAGGCGATTCAAACATAGAAAAATATATCATTTAACTGGAATAAATAATTTTTTGATACCTTAAGAACAAAATATTTAAATATTCAAAGGACAACGTTCTTAAATCACTGATGGATTTTGAATCGCCTTTAATTAGTATATTAAACTAAGTAATTTAAGTAGTTAAGTTACTGCTTAATGCATTTTATTAATGATTCTTTATAAGTTGTTTTCGATCAAATTTTAATATATTTAAAACGGGCGGAACTTCTATACAAGTTTGAAAACACACAAAGTAAATGCCATTGTGATTTCTTTTTTTTTTTAATAATTCAAGTATAATCAAGCAATTAATTAAACTACTTTGAAAACAAGCCAAAAGTAAACGCAATCATTAAAATAAATTTAAAGTTATTTAAATTTAACTGACTAATTTTTTTTAATAATATTATAAAATTAAATGAAACACAAAAAACATTTGTCCAATTCGATTATCCCCAATTGTCCCACATGCTAATTGTTATTATTTCATACTTAAATTAATTAATTTGCAATCGCGTGTATAATATTATTTGAATTTTAAACTATGTTTATTCAACGAAAAAATTAAAGAAGTTCACAATCTACATGACCGAGGCTAATATGAAAAAAATAATTTGTAAGACGGATAATTTGAAAAACAGTTTTCAGTTAAAAAGCCCCTTGAATACAATTCTTGTTATAATTAGCTAAGTATTTTTTCGATTTTTACGTACAAATATCTGTTGCTTATATTTTACGACGGTCCACGCCTTATAAAAAAATGAGTGTCAACGCGAAAATCATTTTCTTAACAAATCTCAAAAATAGAATCGTTTTACCTCATATGGTTTTCATTCAAAAGGCTTCTTCAAAAGTCAAAAACGATTTTAACGGTTCGTAAAAAAAAAAAGGTCCGTATAACATTTTTAAGTTATTAAGATATTTGTATGTATTTTTTTAATCGATTTACTTATGGTATTCTATTTCTGGAAATAAGAAAAATACAATAAACTTTTATTCTTGGCTAAAAATATAAAAGCGCAAACTGTAAAAACATTATTCTTGTATAACGAATCCTTGTACTTACTTTTCGGTGTAATGAGAAAACGGTTTGACGCGTCCAATTCGGTTAAGAGACAGTGCAGTTGTGACTTGCACTTTGCGAAGGGCTGCCGAACTCCACTGATGCGAATCCAGTGGCGACAAGCGTTAAGTTTTGCGGCGAGACGTATACGGGGTGTATAGGTACATATGATCTGTCAGCGTTTCTTAATAATATCATAACAATATTATGGTATTATAATATGTATATATAGATATTTGTTTTTAAATCGGTCCCTTTGATATATTTTTTAAAACTATAACGCCACCCCATGTGAACCGTTTAAGCTGGGGAAAAAATGAATACGTTGAGTAATGTCTAATATTGTTAATGAACCTCAACAGTTTCTAAAAATAAAAAGTATAAAATTGCATTTATTTTAAAAGAAAATGAGTGTCTAGTCTTTAATGAATCATAACCTGTATACAGGGTGATTGGTTAGCTATGACCCAGTCAATAGCTCAGATAAGATATTAGACTATTAGAAATTATTCTTTTATAGTTAATAGTTCGCTCAATTTTGATATATTTTTTAAAACTATAACCTCTTCTCTTATGTGTTAAAACCCTATACACATTAAGATTTTTAAACTGTAACTTATATTACTAAGAATAATTTTCTTAACTGACTTATAAAGTTATTTAAGTTCAAAATTTAGCACTTTTTCTTCATACTAATAATTACAAATTACAGTTTAGAGATAGGTATGTACAATATTTGAAGTTTTTACAATTTTACTTCTTCTCTCTTCTAACTTAATATCAGTGATATTTCCATTTTTTGACATTTAGTTTGCAATTTTTGAGCTTGTTTGAGGAGTTGCCCCGACCCTACTGTGCTGACTTTATAGTATTTTCATTATTAGTCGAATTAGTTTTCGGCATTTAAAAATCATGCAATTTTAAAGCGTTTTGTATGTGAGTTGTAAAAATTAACAGAAAACCTAGGGTTGAAATATCTATCGCCTCGCAAAAAAATAAATAAATAAAGTAGCTGTTTAGTCATTAAAGTCCGGCAGAGTGATATGGTTTCGTATGAAGTTCTCATCTATCATCTCCACGGTCGGGTGGAGGAAGGCAGCCTTTATTTCTTTGAAATACGCGGATACAATATAAGTAATAATGGTGAAGTTTATCAGAGTTAATTCACTGTGAAAACCAGCGTAAGAAGAGGCCCGTAAGCCCCTTTGGAAACTATCTTGGAACTGTTCATTGAATGACTTATTGACGGCTGTATATTATTATAGAATTCATAAATTATTAATAATAATATACACATCGGTATGTTGTAACGAAAAGGGGCTAGACGTGTTCAGTAACTTTTGCTCAACATTTTGATCAAAACAGTATACATTATTATCGTGATCAGATTTTGTTTGAAAAAAAAACCAATTTTTTATTTAACTTTTGATAATAAAAACTTTTCTAAATCCTTGAAAAATAACCGCAATTAGTCTCAAAATTATCTATTTTGTATGCTATTAAAAAACGCTATATTCCGAAATAAGTTTTCTTTCCTCTAACTAAGAAAAAAATTTTTCTATAGTGACTTTTTTAATCAATAACTAAATTTTAGAGTTATTACATAAATGCATAAAAAGTATGACAAGTATGATAAAATAGTGACATATAATTTACATTTCTCATAAATTGTTCGTTTACTAGATTGATTTATTTATAAGAAAGCCTAATAACATTACCATGCTTCTAAATTTGGGTCGTTTATTTTAAAGTGGTGTAACTCCACATTTTTTAAATATACACATTTTTTTTTAATGGAGTCACATTTAGTCGTATCTTTCATTATAAAAGATAAGTAACTCCAATAAATGCAGAAGTAAATTTAAAAAATAGAACACACTGAATGAATACTTGTATTATACATTAGTTTGCAAAAAGCTTGTTATTTCATAATTTAATCACAAGGAGATAATTCACTTTTATAACGAACGACACATTTCTAGGTCTTTGGGATTCCAAGCGTGCGGTTTTTAAGGAGTTTTACATAGGCAATATTTAAGAAAAAAGTAGTTTTAATAATTTCGACCGTATCAATTTATTTTCAGATTAATTTGCATGAGCTTCAGGTATTATTTTCAAGTATTTTGGTAGTAAAAAATGCTTTTGCTGTGACGAAATTGTGATAGCATACGGTTCATCTTAGATTATTTTTTTGTCGTTGTTGCCCAAAATAGAAAAACAAATTCGGATACCTGTGAACTATTGATTCATTCTCACATAACAACCTAGAATTTTTACTATGCATAAAGTGTAATTTTTGCCTAATTTTGGGAGGGCTTCTCTTTAATAAAAAAAAATTGACCATAGATTTTTGAGAAAATTGTAGATGTGATAGTACCACTCTAGATAGATATCCTTAAGGCTACACCTGTAAAGGAAAGATTTCCTCCTACGGGAGAGGGTTTTTGATATTTTTGTTGATTAATTCATTGAACGTTTGTCTAATAAATATTCCATACAAATCTGCAACTAATTCGTCTATTTTTAATAAAGTTTTAGCGCGCTGTAATTTTGAGTTGAAAAATATTTATATATTTTTGTTTGGAATATTTTAGTCAGGTTCTTTTGAGTGTGTGTCGATGGAGATAAGTTTGGAGGCGTGTAAAAATGCCACTACTATTATATTGAAATCCCCATACTATAGGAAACCACCAACATGCGTCAAACGCATTGTCTAAGTATAAGATGAGTTGAATTAAACCGAAAATTGATTAAACCAGTGCTGGCTGGCTTTTACAAATACAAACCTTATCATCAATTTATAATTGTATGATCAATGGTAATCGTATTGTATTATATTGACTTTTGAACTAAAAGGGGTTCGACATAATTAAGCGCTAAGCAAACAGTTTCTATATTAGATCGTAGTGTGGTCTTTAAATTGAATTTGCACGTCTTATAGGTAAATAAATATCATGCAAAATGTGTTCATTTAGTATAATTCCATTTTAACTCCGGACACGTTCAGTCACCAAACATGTTATGTACAGTATCATTAATTTAATTTAAAATACACTAAGTAAGGCGGAAGGGCCGACTCTAATCAAATGCATCAGATTTATTTATCATATTCATCAGATTTATTTATGTATATCAAAATTGTGCAAACAAAAACATACATGATGTACATACTGTTTGATTTTTTATGTTTTTGTAAATAACTTCTAAATTTGTAAAAACTAGTAATTTATGATGTTAAGGATATTCAACGTTTGGTGAATTGATAAAAAGAAATTCTAAAAATAGTTTTAATTTTTAAATTTGGATTTGTTAAACGATTTTTTCTACCGATTTCCAAACTAGTCTCTAGGAATATTATTACAAAGTCAAAGATGGTATGTTTGTTTCGATTTTAGATTACTGTAATATTAAGATAACAAAATATATTTAGCTTTAGCCCCCCCCCCCTCATTGCCACGTTGTTTTTACAAACGGTTGTGAATATAATATAACTCGATACTTAAACATTATTTTATGTTCATTAGTTATGTTATAACTAATATAGTTCCTTTCGATTAAAAAATAAAAATGGGTACAACTTATATGGTATCCCAAAAGAAACTGTTAAGATGAGAAGGTAACTTTTTTTTATTACTAATTTTTATCGAAACGGTCCTCATTTGAAATTTTTAGATCCGTTCCTAAATTTTTGGAAATATGTACATATTTATAGTTAATTAAATACGTTTTTACTGATAATAGAAAAACACTGTTTCCCAGACAGAGACGTTGTGTTAAGAAAAATCAAACCTATAATTTAGTTGGCGCCCTATAGTTATTAAAGATATTGCTATTTATCACATGTAATAAAAATGTATATTTTTTTTAGACAATATTCACTTTTTTACTTCCTCGATGAATGAATCTATTTAAAAACAATTCTATTTTATAAAACTGAAAAGTCGGCCATTGAAGGGTTAACTGGTGGAATCTTCGAACACGCTAGAATTCATAACGCATACACACATAATAATATACAGGCCAAGGTCTGTCGGGCAGTTCGTGAAGGAATTTTTATCAAATAATTTGTCATATCATATGCATATAGTACATCATTATATATAAATATAACCGTACTCGACGCCGCCGCGGTTCAAGGGACGTTTAAGGGTCGTTAAGCTATATAGGGACGGCGACAACGTCTTGGAAATGATTACAAAATGAAAATGAGACGTCGAAAACAATGCCGAATAATTATTACTGCGGTACGAATAAAATAAGATAGAAAAAAAAACGATAAAGAATTAATTATCAACATGTGGCGGCTCGAAGTTCTTCGTACACATATAGCAGCGAAAAACTGGCATTAAAATCGGTATTTGTCGAGTCGGAAGACGGATGGAATGTCAGAAATGTGCAACGATTGTGCTGGAATGTTCTTCATTTTATTCGATATATAAATAATAATTCGCGTGGCCCAATAACCTGCACCGGAGGCGACATCCCTCAGACTATTGATTCGTTTTCACACTTCTATGAACAGCTAAAGATTGTCTCGTCCACGCTAGCTAGCGGAGCTCTACTACTGTGCAATTGCATTATTGTCGTTTGAATTGTTAATATATTTTAAATGCTCCAGCCAACCAACGGTATATGTTTATCATTTGTTGAACATAACCTGGTTCATTGAACAAGAGAGTTCCGATAAACTTGAGAATGACTGTCCCTCGTTTAATAATTTACCTGTCTTTAGCAGCGCAGTAAGAGATTGTCAAAGTCGGGTTTTTCATAACAAAAAAAAAATTGTTGACTTTTTTTTTGTTAAAATCTACCTTTTATCTACTTTTCAGCTTTCAAGTCCTAAAGTTGCGCTTGAAAAAAGGGCATTGATAAGTTTACAAGATAAAGCATTGTAAAATCTGTAATGCGCTTAAAATTGTATTACTTTTGAGTTTTAGGGTGGATATACGGTCAAGGTGGATCTCGTCTGGTCTATTAATATTATGATGCCGCTGTTAACAGTAGGAAAATCAACATCATTATACAAATATTGTTTAGATACCCGTCGACTGTTGATTCACTCACACGTCATAGTGATATGGAAATTTACTACGGTCAAAGCGTAATTTTCCCCTTTTATTTTTTGGTGTTTCCCTATTTAAATTTGACAACAGATTTAGATCCTTAAGTCTAATATTCAGACCTTATGTTCACTGTTAATACTATTAACATTTAACAGTCAACAGAGGGGTTCGTTCGTCAGGCTCTTTGGTCTAGTAAAAACAAAAACAAAACCAGACCGCTTTCAATTATTGCCTTTAAATAAAGTACTTGACCGCTTAGCGTGACGTGGGTAATAAAAATATGTATTTTTGTTGACTTCAATGCGTTTTGTTGACGAGCCGCTGCCCACACCACGCACACGCCGCCAAAACAAGTAACGACTTACTTAAGACCTAATGTTAATATTATTTAAAAATAGACTATTATAATTGCTGGCCGCCAGATTACCTGTGTTGCCGCTAATTTGTCCGCTCAATGTTTATTATTACATATTAATTATATTGTAAACGATTATTCGACCAATTATTTTATTTCAAAACTATACAAAGGCTACAATTATTTATTATTAATACATTTATTGGTTTCGATAAGTCGTATTTTGTTTATTGGTTAACAGTTGACTCGGTTAATGCACGTGCATCCATAGAAACCCGGGGAGAACAACCATCCTGGTGGGGCATTACTTCCCCCCCCCCCCAGTCAATGCCTTAGAAGATATACTTTTTAAAATTATTCAGTTTTATTAACTTTAATATATATTATGTATAAATAACTTAATAATTTTACATTATTAAGATAACCTTAATGATGTTTTCAGTGGAACATTCCAAACCGAAATGTGTATACCAAGAGGAGCGTTGGACACGAGCAATGATTACCATTGACAATCTACCGGACAACTTTGTTCATTTGCAAGTCAACAACCATTCCAAGATCCGTAACATGCTCGGATTTGCTTTAAAAAGTTTCGAACACTCTGACCATTTAGTGTGTAGTGCCAGCGGTCCGTCCGTCAACAAAGCCGTCACTTGTGCAGAAATCATGAAACGTCAAATGCCCGAATTAAGACAAGTTACCGGTATTGGATACAGAAAGTATGTACCTAATCGGAAGTGGAATCACTCTTAGTCATTTGTTTGAAATCCGACCACTTTGATAAGTGGTCAGTCGCGTATTTGTCACAAACATTTTTTTTAAAAATATATTTAGCCCATATATTATGCAAATCGGTTAAATTTAAAAACTATTAAATTCAAAATCATTTATTACAGTATAATATTATAAAGGCTCAATTAGAAGGAGGACCGAGAAGCATAAGTCTCTGCAAAATCTAGCAACCCCATCTCGAAAAAAAAAAATAATATACCCCAAACACTGAGCTTTAATTACAATACTATAGAACTTAAAAATGTTTATATATTTGGTAATTTTTCAATAAGATTTTCTGCTATTGGGTATTAAATTTGAGGAAACGCACTTAAATCAAAATTATTAGTTAATAGTTATCTTGAGAAATCCAATGAAAATATACATATTTTTTGTTATTAAGATAACCTTCTTCGTTGAGTTAACTGAGTAACTATGTCAACTAAAGATGAGAAGAATGTATGAACCTATTAAGAAAAAGTTTAAAATTTAACAAAAAATATAATTAATTTTCTGTTATTCACAAAATGTAAGATGAACGCAAAATGCTTTAAGTTAAGAACTTCGTGTGTTTCAACCCTAAATTCAATACACAAAATTAATCCAGGCATAAAAAAAAAAATGTTTTTGGTTAATACATTCCTCCGATTCAAGACAATATACCGGCAATTAGTATCAATTTGTATAATATATATATATATATATATATATATATCAACGCCTTACTTTTTGAGAGATGGTTTTATAGTTTTATCTTTAGAGTTGACATTACTAATATTTAATAAAAAACCAATAGTTTCATAAACAAAACAAGTTTATAATTCATATTATAGTTATAAAAAAAAAAAACTATTGTATTTACAAAAAAAAATGTAAGAGGTCACACTTTGATCATATCATTTGGTCACTTTATTTAATAACTCTAAACACAACAATTTTTATTAATTTTTACATTGTTACCTGTTGCGATTTTCGTTGAATTTTAATATTTCCATAAAATAAACATATTATTGTATTTAATGAAACAATTTATGTAATAGGGTGATAATTGAACCCCGGTACACGTTGTTTGTTTACCCAAGACAATCTGCAGTTTTTTTTTTTTCTATTAATATTGATGTAGTTCTTTTTTATTAACTATGCTCTAAATACCCTGATCGATTGGCAAAAAAATGTTACTAGAAATTATGCTCGACTCTCAAATCATTGATTATTCTCGATCAATTTACAAATTAGTAATAATAATATTATTACTAATATAATAATATTAGTATTAATGGTTTTTGCGTAACATATTATGTAAAACCCTTTTGGTATGATTAAATGATGCAACAATTTTGATTACAGCGTGAGAATGATCAAAGACGAGATCGTTAACGGCGAAGTCACTCAAAGCATCACAACCCGCCGATTACCTTCCATACACATCCTATTGTCAAAAAACCATCTTCATCCAGAATTACCCGGGTAAATATAGTACAATAATAAACTCATATAGTTGTTTTTTATTTTTTTTTATTGGGTGTGGTAATACAAAAAAAAAAAAATGATTTATATAAACATAAAATGGGGTATTCTAATAATTAAATATATTTGTTTGACTTTCGCGCAAAATCTCGTGATCTCACATCAAATATTAACTTATTATATTTTATTGTTATTGTAAAATTATTTAGGTATCAAGGAGCCGACAAGATAACCGATCACGTCAACAGGCCACTTTCGCGTAAGACTTACGACAAGAGCGAATATCGTGGCACGAAGGAGAGCAGAATCAAGGCTCTTTGATCGACGTCGTTCCGTCCTCTTCAGTTCGACCACCTTGCATAACCGCTTCGGGCATGGGTACGATTAAATTTTCTTTGGCCATCAAATTGTACTTGATGACAAACTTGGTGAACCGCTGGCACAAATACGTCTCACTCTGTAACGTTGTATATATTTTAAAATAGATAACAATATTAATAATTGTTGTTATATATTAGATTAGCATTTATCTATTAAGTATTCTTATGTATGTATACTTTCAATAATAATAACATTTTTATTGTTTTTTTTTTTTAATTCTTTACCTCAAATTTGTTGTAAACGTCTTGATGGTGGTAGAACGCGTGCGAGAATATTCTGTACACGCGGCGGCATACGGATCCTAGTTTTGCCACCGACGATTCTTTTATGTTAACCCTACATTTAAAAAATATATATATATTTAGTTATTAAGATAAATTTAAATTCTTGTTGATTCAAAAAAAAAACACATTATAGTTGATAAGATTGAAAAAAAACAAATATGTCGTAGTATAAGTTTCTTTTATTTTACCTATTCTATAAGAAAAAATAGGATGAAAAATTGGGACAATTTTTCTGTTGTAAACTATTTATATATAATAAATAATTTGCTGTATGTGATTTTTTTTTTTATATACATTTACACTTTTACTACAAACAATAATGTAAATAATACATATTTATTACAAGACTGTAATTTACTAATATTTTCGATACTCAAAACGATGTCGTTTTTATTTGTTTTTGTTTTACATACATATTTTCGTACGGCTTTAATTGATGTAAGAAATGTTATTTTCCATAAAAAGTCTAAAATTAAGATTTATTTTAATAATGCAATTTTTTTGTCAATTTTGACAATTTTTCTTAATAGTATTTTAGACATAAATATCACGCTCTAATTAATTTTTTTATGTTTTTTCAAGGTTTTTTAAACCCAAATCATATGCATTTGGTGTTAAAATTGATCATGTGAAGAAAAAAAATCAATAATTATACATGAAATAGAGTTTTAAATAAAAAGTTTTTGTTTTTAAGGACTGATTCACTAAAACGGTTTTATGATAAATTTAACTATTCTTTTTTTATCTGGACTAAACGAGTAACTTTTTAAACAACTGAAAACACCCTATCATGAGCTGGTTATCAAGATATAGTTATTATATTAATTTGATAAGTCTAAATTTAAATTCAACTATTCTCAGATACAGGCTGTATGTAATAACTGTTGTATAATGTATACTAACCTGCTGGGAAAATATTTGTTACTATTTAATAGACAAGCTGCTCCGTCGAGAGTGTGTCGAGTGTAATCGATTGCCGGGCATTCTTTTGGTGTTTTGTGGGCCGCACATAAGAAAATCCATTGTTCGGTGGATGTCATTTGGCTGCATGTGTCCGGCAGACATTCATTTTGTAACTCGACCGCCAATCCGTTTAGTTCCATACAAAATTGCCTACAAAACAATAACAATAACAATACAAGCTTTGATGCCACAGTCAAATATCCAGACGTCTTACCGAAGGTGTTCGTATTTCCAGACGCCTTCTTCTTGCGAATCTGGTGGAGTCAAAATCAGATCTATGTTGCTCGGATCTTTGCGGATCTGTTGTTGTATGAACTCTTGAACGGCTAGTGTACTTTCCATTTCTTCGAATGGCTCGTCCGGCCATTTCCGGAACAACTAAAATGATATAATTATTTTAATACCAGTGACGTATTTAGTGTTTACGATTTAAACAAAGATAATCATATTAACTAGAGTTCTGATTTTTCTCTTTTTATTAAATATAAAGAACATTTTTCAACAGTGTTCTTTAGACAAAGGAAGCGACCAAAAATTCTAATTGTTTATAAACAAACGTTCACGCTTGCGCTTAACTAAAATATATAATTTAAAAAATGCTTTGAGCAATTACGCTTTTGGCCACTTTTAATAAGGTTTCTACCCAGTGCGCGGTGCTAATTAAATATCCGACTCACTTTGGCTTTTGTGCCCGGTTTATTGCGTTTTAATAGTTTTTTAACTGGTTCGGCCATCTTCATTTTTAGTGTTTTAACAACTCGAAGATTGTGTTTCTTCTGCCAACGTCGACGTGTACCACTCGAATTCGGAAATAATAATCTTACAGCGATTATTGTTTAAAAACGTATTGCCTTGTCTTCCATAACATAATCCGACTTTCCACTCCTCAACGACAACTCAGATCTCAGCGTCGCTGTCAACGAAATACCGATCAATATACGTTATCACTACTCGTTATCAACAATACACCAAAGTTCATAAATTTATCTGTATTTTGATACCGGTCACCAAGTTAACGGTAATGACCACTTTTCCGGTATACGTTTTTGAGGTTCAGAAATCGGCATATCAGTTTTTCCGACGACAAATGTAAACAAACCGCGTAATGAACAATTTTCAATAAGCGCTTTACGAAAAATCACAATTTAAGGGTATGCATTTTTCTATTCTCTAGCTTTTCCGTTTAAGCACGAACATTTTGTTTCCAAAATATGTACGTTAAAATGATGTGGTTTCTAAGCTGAAGAACAGACATAAAAGTCAGTGATGTGCGGTCAAAATCGTATAAAAAATATACAACTTTAAAGTTTAATTTAAAATACAATACTAATTATCAGTCGAACGTTGTACGTTATATTCACAATAAAAAAATTATTGCGAATACAAATTTTATCTAACGTCTTACCGAATTGACCAATTTTACTTTGACATCGTTTTTAACGTAATTACATATTTTGGAAAACAAAAGTTGTCCTCGAGAGTTCAAATTTAATCTTTCTATACTTGTTTACAGACGTTCTTCGCAATGGCTGAAAAGAGCGTACAAAACAGTCAAGCGACAGTGAAGACGAAAGATGCCGAAGTCGATATCTATATGGTAATATTAAGCAAGAAGAAACATTAAAAAATATATACTTTATTAACTAGATTTGTTTACTATAGTAAATACATGTTATTAACCTGAGTTTAATTTATTTTAGAATGTCGCTAAATTCGAAGAAGAGCAAGCATGTAATCGTGATGAAAATAAAGATTCATCGATTTATTTTAACACTTTACACAAGTGGCAAGATATAATGAAGTGGACCAATGAATTAAAAACTAAAGAAAACCCCTCAGTTAGTTTTAATTTGTGAAACATTTATTAAAATACTGTATAACTGAAAACGTGTAGATATTTTATATCTATTTTTTGTTTTAGAAAGAAAAACTCGAAGAATATAGAAACAATGCAATTCATTTGTTTTTAATATTAAAAAAATTAAACAGATTGGATAAAATTCGGTCGAAACAAAAGAAAGATATACTCAACAAGAAAAAACAAGAAATAGACAGTAAACATTTACAGCAAGAAAACCTGTTGAACGAACTTTTCTATCTGAAAAAAGAAATTTCCAAATGTCTTCAGTACAAGTAAAAATTATTTTTCAAGTGGCTGTTTCGTATGTAAAGTTGTAATACATGTATGTCGTAAATATTTATATGTTTTAGGTCGAGCGATAGTGATATAGATCTTATTCCTGTAGACGTGTTTTGTCGAGAAGCAAATATATCGGTTGAAGATAAGGTGCGTGATCGCAATGTATATTTTAGCAAACAGTTATAAAATTAACCAAAAAATACATGCAGTAACAAAAACGAGTTTGTTTCTGGTGTAAATTTGTTAACGATTTTCGATCTCAGATTATAAATATTATTATAAACTGGATTTCTTTTTATATATATATATATTATATATTTTAGGAAAAAATACAAAATAGCACAATGAACGAACACGAACTGCACGTGAAACGTTTGCAATGGGAACTCGAACAAAGACAAACTCAACAAAAACAATGTGAAGAGGTTGAAAAAAATAAAGAAATCATACTTGCCGAAATACAAGAAGAAAGTAGAATTTTACAAAGCATATTGCCTATGCTCAAAGATATACGTACGGTAAGTTGTTGGAAAATAGTGATTGAGAAAAGCACATTGACGAAAAACATACGGCCTTTCTCAAATTTGGACGAATGTATCAAACAGACTGATATTATACTTTATATAACAATAAGTAAAGATGTTTAATGTATTTTTAAGGCTTCTTTACCTCTTCAACAAAGTTTTGGATTACCGCCCTGTCAAGTCAAATCATACCCAGACGTTGTGAACCTATTGCCGAAACCGTTATATTATTTGTACATACAAGCGGACGCATTCAGAGAAGCCAGTAGTGAGTTGAAATTTTAAATATCTTCTTAAAGAATATTATAGTTATAACGAAAATCGTTACTGTTCATATTTTTCAGATAAACATTTTATTGTTTCTACAAACGGCGATGAAGAAGAAGCCAGGCGATTCGAAACAAATAAAAATCAGATTAACGAAGTTAACTCTGATGAGGTAAACTTTTCCATGTTTTATCATTTATTTATAAAAAATAAAAATAGTCACTATCGTAATTTTTTGGTGTTGTAGACAATAAAAAACCATTAGTATTTTACGAGTGTATTTTTTTTTAGGAAATAGACGTGCCGAAACCGAAAAAACGACATCATAAAAAATCTCGAACGGATTCTAAATCTGTACAACAACGCAGCGTACTCGCCAAACATCCTCTGTCCGTCAAGTTGACTTTAAATTTGAAAAACAACACGGAATTTGTCGTGGAATTTTTCTACTTGGCCAATTTGAACGTCATCACAGTGGTCGTTACGTCGTCTTGGTCAGGCTTTTCATCGTCTTATTCGCGAGAGTTGCTCTCGCCGATAACCATTCTCGACTCATTGTTTTCTGGCGATGACGGAGCCGAAAGTCCAAACATAGTCAACTATCATCAGTTAGATCAGGTTGGTGTGACAGTTTAATTATTGTGCTTTCGAGTTTTATAAATTAATAGTTTAAAACTTTTAATACAGATGACATCGGAATTCAACACGTTAGACGTAGGCAAACCTTACGTTTGGGCTCAAAACATATGCGGTTTGAATTTTTTGAATCCCAATAAACCGGACTATATACTTTCGAGAAATCACGTGTCTCGGGTGTTGAAAGCCATTAACAATCGTCTACAGACTCGACTCTCGTTGATATCCCAACTCGATTGTGGCGGTAAGAAAACTATAAAGTAAAATATTTGAGTTCAGACATAGACAGCCAGGGTTTCACATTATCGAAGAAAAATTTAATGATGTGGGCAAAACTATTTTTTTTTTCATAACAAAAATGTATTCTTTTAGTCACCTCGTAGTTCCATCTATGGTATCGAATAATAAAATGTAATTTTGTTTTTAGACTTGGAACGCAGATTCGGCATAAACGGAGTAAATTTGACTTCCGTTCTGTCGCCTTGGAACACTATGACGTGGGACAATTACAATAAACTGCCATACTGTAAACCACACGTCGAATCGGAATCAGTGTCCGAACAAGATTTGTTATTTAAACGCGTGGTGAACTACAAAACAGGTAATACATTTTATACTACCTAAGTTATGTATTCATATGTATACACACATATTTATGTTAGGATGGTCCAAAAAATAATTGTTTTTTTCTGTTCTTGTGATAGCTTGATGTTCTCTTGAGTAAAAAGAATTATTTTCAGATTAAAAGAATTTTCAGAGATTGCGCTTTTATGTAATAATGTAATTATTTTAAGTTTTTAACTTAAAAATACTTTTAAAAAAATAGGTGGTTTTCTTGAAAATTATTAGCGTAAATGAAAGGAACAATTTTTTACATTGACGTATCATTTTTTCTCTAGATTTATTTGTTTATTATTTAAAAAGTAACTCGTATTAACCTGAAAAAATTACAACACTTTTTTTCAACACTAAAGAAGATACTGTCACATGAAAAACAAATTTTTTTGGTCCATCCTTATAAATATATCTATATAAGTAAATGAAAACCTTATACATGTACAATTTTTAATTTACAGCGGCTTTGACAGTTGTCATGGCTATTAAATGCGATTACCCGAGTAGTACTCCTGTATTTGCTCTTCAACTCAACATGCCGACTCACAATGAAGGCACGTCCGTACTGAATTCGACCAACAACAACTCTATTCGAGTATGTAAAAAATATTTTCTCAATTTCTCATTGCAATCTGTCTAGGTACAAGGAACCAATTATAAGAACATACCTGGACAAATAATTTTTTTTGTGATCAATAATTATGTGTATTAAATGTATGTCTAGGAACTGGAAAGAGAAATAAACGTTTTCAACGAACAAAGTGAAGACGACGACGTCAATGAATTACTGATAAACATAATCGGCCGCCTTGTCGTATGTTTCGAAGTAATGATGGAGACGTGGGGCCACGCAGACTTCCCTAAAACCAAAACGGTTCTATACAACATTAGGTAATTGTAAAAACGCTTAGTTTTTTTAAAATATTTTACACTAATCTGATACGATTGATAATCGATTAATATTTAATCGTGCCGTACAGATGAACGTTAATATAAAAGGTAATTAACATTTAAAGTATACGGGTGCAAAGCCTCGCATGTAAGTAATAACTATTACAAAGTTGTGTAATTTGTAATATCGAGTCTTACTGAAATTATTATTATTATTACTGTTGTTGAATATTAAATACGCCTTAAATGTCTGAATATTCTGATAAACTACTGTAAAATTATAACTCCTAACCTACTTTAAAAAAAGTCGTCTCGTTTTCATAGGTCGCATTAATGAATTGTTGTAATTAAAAAAAAAAAAACCAAATAGGTAATTGAAACTATTTGAAAATTTTTTTTTTAAGATTTACAAAAAAAATAGCTATTCATTCAAGCTCTATGTATTAATATTTTGTTTTGTATTATTATTTTAGAGGCAGAACCAGAAGTCATCCATTCAAAGCTGTTAAACACCATTCGGGAACGTTATTTGAACACCGTAATTCGTCGTGAACTCTCTATCGATTAAATACAATACAATAGTGTCATGCGAGTTTGTCGAGTACATACTTATTTTATATTTTTTGATCTTTCAATACAATATGTATTATGTTAATCTATTTTTTTTTTTTTTTTTTTAACTATTTCAATTCCTGCTAATACAAAAATAATAAATATTATGTTGTTTTTTATTCTTGAAAACATTTGTAGTTGTGTGATTTGTTATTATTTTCGTACAAGCCAGAGTTGTTGTAAATCGCTAGACGACTGAAGTTGTAGTACGTACTTCGATGGGTAATGGTTTAAGCAATCGTCATCTAATAAGAACTTGTGTAGCTAAGAAATATCTATCTACTATTCGGCTTATTTTAAAATAAATTTGTTGTGAAAATGAAAGAATTTAAGATTTGTAGAAAATCAATATATTACTACAACAGGATTTCAATTTTTTAAACAACTTTTACTTTTGGATGAATGAATAATTTTTATATCAGCTTGGAAACTTAAATGTTATAATAATAATATATATATTATTTACTAAACATTTTCATTCCAATTAAAAACGTACTATTTTTGTGATTAAGGCTTTATTTTAATATTTAATATTATACAAGTGTTGCTTATTTTTTTTCTAGAAAGGTATTTTAGAGTTCCAAAATCACCTCAATATGATATTATGTCCCTTATATTTCATATACTATTATTGTTACTATTTCTTGTGTGCTATATCATAATAAATAGGTTTACAGGAGATATATATATATATATTTAGAGTATATACTTATAAAACGGCCTAGTTTGTGCGGGATAAAAATCAATAGAACGAGTAGAGGTCCATTCAAGACGATGATGTGGAACAGACAATTAGATATATTTTATACAATATAGTAATATATAATTCATTTCAAGAAATATTATTTTACAAAACCATTGTCGACGATGGAAGGAGTGGAATCCGTTTTGAAGATTAACGTCTCGGATTTATACAGCAATTGTTTTCATGATTTAGTTATTAAGTGATTGAAGCGACCGTATTGTAAGGAGGTGGTGGGTTGTTGTTCCTTTTCAAATATTATATAAGTTCCCATTCAAGTCGAATAACTCATCCGATTTAAACTATTGTTTCGAGTTTTGTATTTCTACTTACTTTGCATTGTAAAAAAAAAAGACAAGTTTTTTAAATGGTCAAAACACTCATCATTGAAAAAGACAAGCACATCTGTTGTGGCATATTACTTCTTAATATTATATTATGTTTTAACTTGAGTCTAATAAAAAGCGGATCCGAAGATGACAAAAATTTTAATATTTCTCTCTCGCGGTTTAGTTAATAAAAAAAAATGTTCAAAGCAGCTTACACAACTTACAAAAAAAAAAAAATTAAACTATTTTTCTATTCTATTAAGTTTTGTTAAATTGATGGTATAAATCACTTGCAATCGACACCGAAATGTTCTTTATTATTACAACCGAATATGAATAATATATATTGATTGATCAGCTTATCTAATAGTTTCAATGAACTTTGGTCAAACATCAAAAATATAATACAGGCAAATTAATTTTGTACGGACAAGACAAATATTGTAATATAAATTGGTACCTATTGCAATGGTATATAAAATATAATATTTATTTTCATGCACACTCGACATTAGCTGGTTAACGTAGGTATATGCGCTCACCGACATAATAAATTATTTATATATTTATACAACCCTGTAAGGTGCCTACTGTAACGTTGACATAGTACTTAAGTGTATACACATATATAGTGTACGGGGTGCCCCGAAAAGATTTAACCGTATCAGCCTTTTTGCCAAGCTAAATTATAAAGTTGTTTAAATATAACAATATATTCTACTTACTACATTCGTTCAAATAGGATACTTAAATATAATCGGTTGGAGAAAATAATTTATATATGCTATTTTTTTCAACCCCCTCCCCCCACCCCCACCGGCAGCAGCCTAAGTTTAATTATCGCTGTCTGGGGATCATCTCGGCGGCGGTGTAAACTGTAACGCTCTGTATATGTGTGTGTACGGCTACGGTACAATATCATTCGCGGTACTCGCACACGGCGCATGGACCACTTTTGGCTGCTGCCGTCGCCATGGTGACCCGCGGGACGAACGCGGCAAGGCCGTCGGGACGACACAACATACGCGCGGCGGCACCGATATGATCATTATATTATATTCAGTCAACATGCCAACAGGCAAGTGACCGGACACAGCTGCCGTGCGTTTGTGTGTGGGGGCGCAATGTTTTTCGGGTTCACTTCGTCCGAACCGTTGTGGTGAGCGCGGTACCGAAATCGGATATCCGGAAACACTTCCGCCACCGGACCTACCTAAGTCCGACAACGATAGAAATTACGCTCATTCGACGATATTGCCATCAGGTGAGTGCCAACGATTACTAAACTAGGTATCAATCATTATCACTATATTATTATATTATTTTTTTCTTCAAATGGGAACAAATGTGATTTTAATACCAGATATCAGATACCAATATATATATAGATAACATCAATCCGTTTGTTTGCTATGACTTTGCAAGGGTACATTACATTAAATTATGACTGCGCATAGTCACTTGAACCTATCTTGGTAGGTATGCTGCGAACGCGTCATTCCGCTCTTGACATAAAAATAAACACATTCGACGAATTAGCAGCGTTGCAATTGAGATGAGAGCTAAAGAGGTCCTTGTTGATATTATATTGTAGATAGGTATAAAAAATGCTTGTTGTAAAAACAAATTCCATATATTTTCTATAGAAATAACGAAATGACTGATAAACTGTGTAATTATATTGGAAATTGTTTTTTATACCTTGACAATATTGGCAATTTGGTTTCAACTTGGGCAACAAACGAAACTACTTTATCAAGCGGTTTCAGTCTCTGAAAACGCCATCAGTCAAAGCCTAAATTTTAAAGGTACAAAAAAGATAATTAGTCTGTGACAAAATTTGTACACAAACCGAAATGTACAATTAATTAAAATCAAAAAGCTGTAAAAAAACAATACATTTATTTCAGCACCGATAGCAGGCATGTAGTAAAATTGCCTATACACTACGCCTTGTTTAAGAAACATATTAACTATTATATTATATTATATAAGTGCATAATATATTAAATAAGCGGTAAATATAAATAATGTACGAATTTTGAAAAGCAAATACATTAGAAAAAAGAAACGATCCATAAAAATCATAGTATTAGTATTGTACTTTTAAAACTCGGCAACATCAACTTCGGATATATTCAGTTAAATTTAAAGTATAATCATTTTAAGTGGTCGCACAGAACGATAAATACAAAATAGTCGTTTGCCGTCATTCAGATTTTTATTTATATGTATTGATTTTTTATATTTTTCTATGTATATAATTTGCATATTATATTTTTTATTTAATAAAAACAATAAATGTTATAAAAACTTGGCCATTTAATTTTTCACGTTAAAAATAATATCGGTAAAACAAGCATTACACATTAAAAAACGATATTATTTTATATTTGGTACAAAGATAATATAATGTTTGCACAATTCGGCCGAATTTATTAGCATAATTATATCCCCAAAAGAAGCATTGTACACAAAACGGATAAAAAAAAAACCTTTTTATATGTTAATGAACGGAGATTTTTTTTTATAGCTTGTTTTTAATAACCGATTTTTTTTTTATTGCGAAAGAAATATTTTTACAGCGGTGACGTTTTAATAGATTTTTATATCGTTAATAAAAAATGTTATACCCAAGTAGAATGTTTTTAAAATGAAAAATACAATTTTGTATACAACAAACAAACAAACGAAAAAAAGGAAATTGTAAAATATGTTATAAACATTTGCATAAGACAAGGTTTGAACATTTTCATTAAAAAAAAAAAATATATATATATATATACTCCTCATATTGTAGAAAAGGAGAATAAGTCCGCTTTAAGGCGTGAGTGCCAAAAAATAAATTAAAAAAAATAATTAGGTTAAAAATCTGAAAAAAATATCAAATGTAGTTGCATGTAGAGTGTACAATGCAATGGGTGTGCACATTTGAAGACTATATTTACCTCAATTTAAAGTATGAAACTTACTCGGAAGTGCCATCGCACTTATGAACTTATACCCGCGTAACTTTCCCTATAAATCCTAAGCAAACTTTTCGGTCAGGGTAGTTTTCCCTTGGCACGTATGCGGTAGATTAAGATTTACAAACTTATCTCAGTGCCCGACTTAACTCGAAAAGTGTACATGGTTTGTAAAATAAATTCCCATACTTATGTCGTTTCATGTTATTACTTTAATTATATAATTAATAATAAATATACATTTGTAATATATAAGCAATTTATAACACACACACACAAATGTTGTATTAGCTAACTTTTTTGTAAAAGGTGAACTTTTTAAGTTGTTTGTCCAATACAGTGCCTATTAGGTAGGATTTCTGATCTATAGACCTGCTACATGGTTGGACGGTTTAGAAGATAGGATCGTTGGTTTAAATAATAAAAAATAAAGGAAATACAAATAAGAAAACACTGTTATTGTTTTAAAACAATGTCTTCTCAGCTGTGCGTCGAAAGTAAAATTATTTTCTCTAACAAATGCGTTGACCGGGAAAAAAATGTACATTAAATTCAATTCAAAAACCAGAGGTAAAAATGATATTAACGACAGTGCGGACAACAGCTTTGGTGTAGGAGGATTGGAGAAATTGATGAAGGTAGAATAATATCTATTATGACATGATGCCCAAAGGAAATTGGATAGTTATCTTTATAAATGGATTTGACTTCAGATGTTTCTGTAATATATTGTTGACGCCGTGACCTAAAGAAAGATAGGACCTTTTTATTTTTTGGGTTTTACACTGTTTTACCTGATTTATTTTATTTTTTACTGGTAGGTATACATTTTTTCGGGCTGAATTACCCACCTATTTACTAAGGCATAGATTGTATGCGGTCAGTTTTTAAGGAGTTTTGTGTAGACCATTGTTAAGCAAAAAAAAAGAGGTTTTAATAAATTTCGTATAAGCTTCGAGGTATTATTTTCAATTTAAATCATTTTTTCCAGAGGAAAAGCCATTTTGACCCTTATAATATATTAGAGCGGTTAAAGAAACCATCGTCCCCCCCCCCCATTTTTTTCTATGGTATAAACAAATTCTGTGAAAATATTTGGGTTCGGTTACCTACTCAACCTCTTCACGTGCCCCATATAAAATAAGAAATTGCAAACTCATGATAGCATCAGAAGACTATCAATTATTTTTAAAAAAAAAATAGCTATAGCTGCTATTTTTCACTGTTTTTTTTTTAAACTAGAAATAGCTGCATTAGCAGAATATGTTTAAAATAAAATATAGCTGAAATGCCTATCCTTGGTATAAATGTTAAATTATAATAGAACATTCCGAGTCATTATCACTATTATAATGACAATTATTAACAAATCTATTATAAAATGTAAATAATTATAATATTATTATGTCTATTGTGTGAATACTCGATTGCACAAAAAATGTAATACCGTAGACCTACTATGCAAACCATGCGTTAGATGCACAATCTTATTTGGTCTATGCATAGAGCAATAATATAATGAGATCAACTAACATTATTTTATACTAGCTTGTATATGCGATAGTGAAGTAAATAGTGTCTAATAATTGGGACTATGTCTATTACACGGTTGACTAGCAGCGCTCGGCGGTTTGAGGTACTGCACGGACCGTAACGAATTCTGACACCGCTGATAGCCATACCGAGACATATAAAAAAAAGGTCTATATGATAACGATGCCTAACCTGTTCCATATAATCGTGGTAATAAGTAAAAGCCGGTATATGTGATAACAACTTATCTGTAGACGGCATGACGTTCTGTTTGTTAACAGAATAAATATTTAAAATTAAAAACATTAGTAAATGTATTTACCGGTACCTACCTATTAAAAAACAATAACTTTTAAAGTAACTTAACAACAATGCATTAAATTATCGCTGTCGTTTTATGAATTTTTGTTTTAAAAATCAGTATAAAAGTTTAATTTTTTTATTTTCTAGTGTACTCTGTACACGTTTTATTGGCTGTTGGATTTAAAAACCTACCCATTTCGTTTGTGAGTAAATACTTATATTTTTCTATTAATTATATTACAATATTTTGTTTAACTATTATGTTGGGTTTATACTTATACTTTAGTCGGTAGATAATTCGCAAGAATGCTAAGGGTGGTCGAAGCTAAAGAAAAATTAAATCAAATCCGCATCAAAGCTAAAACTAACATTTAAACCATTCTATTGTAATGAATTTCGAAAATTCCTTTTAACTTATCAGTAAAGCCCAGACATAATTGAAATAAATACAATTTCATTTTTAATTCAGCGCATTTAAATAACAAATTATTATTTTATTTAAATCAATAATTCATTTTTGACTCCTCATTTTTTATTTGGAAAAAAGATGGAAATACTTATTTAAAGTCAAATGATTATTTTAAAATAAGTTGCTCAAATAATAAAATAAAATCAACAACTATTTATCTACTGAATGAGTGTATTTTTTTGTCTATTATTATACAAACGATGATAATGTAATTGCTTAAAACAAATTATTTGTATAACAATATATTATTTTATTGTTCGAACAACAAACTATTATCTAAGAATGTATTTAAATCAACTTTTTTATGAATTTATAAATAACAAGTTATTTCTAAAAAAAAAAAAAATGATTTGCAAATAATTACAAGTATATATTATTAAAATAAAAACTGTTTGTATTTAATTTGTCGCTTTCTGTAATAGTATGTCTAAACCCAGAGATAATCTATACAATAAAATAGTATAATAAACTGTTATGAAACCAAATAAGTGTTTATACAAATGTATTAAAAGCTATGTAAAATTAATTATTTCTTTCTGTTTTTTTAATAGGCAAGACAAATTGTATTACTAAACATGTTTGGTTTTATTAAAATACCATTCATAAATTCTGAAAACAGAAACGACAGTCCATTTTTATGCAACCAGATCAAACTACTCGGTCATTGTAAAAAAACGTGTGGTAATCGTCACGAAGTGTCCAAAGTTCTCGACAGTAATTCGGTTAACATTCCAAATAGTTGTTTTGTCACTATGAAACTATTGAAAGTTAACTCAGCATCTAACTTTTGTGGAAGAATTTCCAAATACAGCACTGTCAATGATCCGACCAAAGAAAGTCATTGGGTCGAAATGTGTAATACCTTCAACGCCGTAAAAGAAGATCTAAAACTCATCGCTTCAGATAGTAAAACTTTATGTAGTCATCCCAAAATCGGGGACATGGTTATGGTCGATCAAGAAGAACTGTACAGAGCGATTGTTTTGGATATTAGCGGGTGGTTTTCTCAGAAACTCAGTGTCAAACTAATCGATACAGGAAGTGTAGCCGAAGTTCATACCTCTAAAGTATTTGTACTACCTAACCACCTGAAAGATATCTGTCCAGCAGTTTTTGAAGTATGCATGTCTTCCGTTAAACCTATAGGTGCCGCAGACGATTGGCCAGTTACCACGACGGCCCTAACTCGGAGTCTTTTGGAACCGGCTATCTTAGAAGAATTAGAGTTTATCGGCAAAGTGGAATTTGTGATGGGCTCTACCTTATGGATTAGCTGGCTGTTGGTAAAAAAATGTAAAAAATGTTCTCATTTTGCATGCAAACTGTACAATAACTCGATATTGCTGCCACGAGAATTGATCGACCGTAACTTAGCTGAAGTCAATACCGATCTCATCGATAACCTGATAGGTTTGTGTAAAGCTGCCGATATGTGGCAAGAACAACCTTCAAAAACTATCGTCATAAAGAAAGCTTTATTATTTTCAACTGAAGATAAAATCACGACCAGCGAAATAACGCAACCCCAATGGGCTCACTTGTCCGACGGAGAAATTTATACAGTCGACAGAAATTATGTCGAACATACAAAATGCTTTCTAGTGCGCAACTGTAAATTTATCGATAGAGTTAAGATTCTAGAGGAAGATATAAATAAGTTCATCGATGGAGAAAAAACAGAAAAATTGACCGACGTCGCAGTGGGCACGGTTTGTTTAGCCAGAGCCCCCGAGGGTGAACATTTCAATCGTGTTCTAATCAAAGAAGTAAACGATCAATACGCTACCGTGCTGTACCTGGACTACGGCGATTTGTGTTTGATCAGCATTCACACTTTGTTAGCTATACCTACGAATTTGATTTCTCAGTTGCCATTTCAAGTAATCGAATGCGGTTTAAGTGGTTTTAAAAATGTTTTTCAAAATAACTCAGCCGACGAGGAAATTATCAATCATTTCTTAAGTATCACTGATAATGAAATATATTTAAAAGTCCTTTCTTATTCAACAGATTCGAAATTGACCAACGGCAGCCATTACGAAGTCGTATTGTTTAATAAAAATCTAAACGTCAATGTTGAATTGGCCAATGTTTTTCAATATTACATCGACGACGTTCAAATAAAAAATATTTTAGATGCAGACTTCCAGTGTCCTGAGAGTATAGATGACGAGGACTACGATGACGATTACGATGACGATATTGATGCTCAATGTCGTCTATTGGAAAGTTTATTTAAAACATCCACTGAAGAAGCTAAAGAAAGCCCAAAAGACCTAGAACAACCGATTTCGACGAATAACGAGCATACCCTTGTCAATGGTTCGAATAAAGAACAAGTAGTTAAAAAAAACGATATCAGCATAAATAAATTTAAATACTGCCAAAAATGCAATCAGACCCCGGTTGTTCCGCTGTGTTATTGGCATCAAGATAATAGCTGGATATATTTTAAGCTCAACATTCTGTCTGTGAACAATTATCAACTAGATCATACAATCGATTCGATATCGATTACCGTTGATACAAATACTGTAACCTATCGTCTTACAATCGAGTTATATGCTTTTATAAAGGAGGATTTATTCACTTGCAACATAAGTTTCGACGGAATTTGTATAAAAGCACGAAAGTTAATTGAAACACATTACAAGTGGCCTCGCCTAACAAAATGTCAGGAAAAACATAAATACCTTACTTACGACACCGAACATGTGTCTGAACGTTTGAATCGAAACTTGTGGGTCAAGAAAATGAGCAACTATAAAATGATGGCTATTGGTCAGCCGTTAAACGTATCAGACTCGTATGCCAGCGAAGAAGATTCGTCAGACAATGAAGACTATACAATTTTCGAAGACTGACAAATATATAATATATAAGGTTCAAACTAATATTTTTCACTTAAGTGCTTCAAGTCAATATCGGTTGACTAATTTTTACTTCTTTGTGTTTTTTTTTATTAAACAGTTGTATCTTAAGACTTAATTTTTAATCGAAATTATAGTTATTTTTAAAGTAAGTTTTTATATACTATTTTTGTTATTTTGTTTTAAAAAAATGGCTTTTTAAAATCCTAATTAAACTATTCGATTATGAAAAGTTGAACTATAATAAAAAACATACATTAGGTTACAGTACAATTTTTTATAATACAATTCAGTACTAATATAAAGTTGCTTAACTTACTCTTTTTATATTTTGGCAATTTTTATACAAATAAAATTTAGGTATCAAAATGTTTAATATGTGATATTATTTTATGCTCATTAACGTAAAAGGGGCATTTCTTTTTACAGAAATTAATAGAACTCATGTGACGTGTGACTAAAAACAAGTAATGTCTTACTTTTTATTTTTAAAAATATAGTAAGTTTATTACAAATATGAACCTTGGTAATAAAAATATAATGACACTATTTATTTGCAATAATAATAATAATATACGAGTAGGTATTCTGTATTTATAATTTGACTGCATTTAAAAAAAAGCTTACCCAACACTAGTGTTAACCCTTTCAGCCCAAATAGTCATTATAATAATTAATAACCGAATTGTATATTATTTTTGAAAAAAACCTAATTGATAGTTATTTACTCCGCTCAACGGAAAAACATTAAATCATTGATATGTTATCTCTTATCAATTTTCTCTTATCTCTAATCTCTTATCTTTTTTTGAATATTGTAACGTGAAAATGGCGACATGTCATTTCTTGTATCCAGCCCGCTGCCCAATAAGGATCACTACCTTTTGTTCCAAACATTTTTTATTTGAAATATACCCTTGAAATTAAGTACAATGTACAGTAAAACCAGCTCAGTTTGTAATTATTACAGTTTAAACCAAGCACAGTAATATGAATCAAAATTTACTCTATTTGTTTAATCGTTTACTTCATTTATTTACTCGACTTGTTTACCTACCATATCTCAAAAACAATATCATGCTCTTCTACATGTCTAGTTTTAGCTTAAAATTTCACGATTTTTTTTACAAGTTAAAAAATAAAATTATAGCTATAAATTATAAATGTAGATATTTATACAGAATTTGAAACGGTAATATTGTAAAATTTAACTTTGATTAAAAAAAAAAAGTATCCGGATTGCGGTCATATGCCTAATTGATTCAGTGCGTTAAAATTGTGTATTTTAACAATTATTTAATTAAGGTTTATGAAAAAAATTTAGCTCTGAGTTTGGATTATTAGTTGTATTATAATAACTTAGGAGTTGAAAGCGGTGTGTTTTTTGGACGATTTAGGCCAAAAATAAATTGAGACGGTCGACATATTTTATTAAAACCATTTTTTTCTTAAATATTGCCTACATAAAACTCCTTAAAAACCGCCAGCTTCCAATCCCCTTAAGAGAGCGTCGCACCGCCCATTTTTAAGGAGTAAAGTATAGGCAACTTTTCATAAAATCTTAAATTAAAGGTTAAACTGTGATCTGTAATTATTATTTCAATAACTAGGACTCTATTTTGGTAGTTAATTTATTTTTTGGACTATCACAGTATCCTTAAAAGCGTTTTAAAAATGTTTTCTCATCTCTACATGTTTAAGCAGACTGAAAATAACTCACTTAATTTTGGTTTTAGAGTAAAAGCACCCATTATAAAATTAAAAGAAAACAATATGCCGGAGGGCAAGACGCTGCGTTTTTTTCATTATTCCAAGTAAAACGCTCAATACATAGTTTAGAAATAACGACTATTTTAACATTTTTAAATGACTAACTTTTCAAAAAATTAATTTTTTTTTAAAAACGCACCGTCTTGCCCTCCAGAATATTGTTTTCTTTTAATTTTATATTGGGTGCTTTTACTCTAAAACCAAAATTAAGCGAGTTATTTTCAGTCTGCTTAAACATGTTTTTAGCACTGAAAATCACCGGTGCGACACCTTCTTAACAGCATCTCATTAAAACTTTATCAATCCAGTCGCAAAAATAATTATAGTTTCTACCTTTTTTAAGTAACACAAATGCGGAAAGCTTGCTTATAACACTTCTCATCATGTTATACACTATTCATTGACCATTTTATAATAAATCAATAAGTATAATATTTTAATAAGAGCGATGTACACAATATTGAATGTACAATAGCAAAAAATACAATTATATATTAGGTGTAAAGGATATAATAGCAGAGTTTTGGACTTTGACGTATACTTGAATGACGGCAGACAACTTTTACAAAGCTTCTTCCATTATAAAAAAAAAAAAAATACTTGACTTATATACACGACTTGTCTCTCTTTCATTGCAACTATGGATAAACCTATCCGCCTCTAAACTTAGAGGTGTCAGCTGCCAATCCTGTCTTAAGTACTATTTGGTCTGGATAAGTTTGAACAATGTAAAAGGGGTTGGAAACATGACACAAAAACGATACTGTTTGACATCTCATATAAAAGAAATGTATGTAGTAATACTCTTAACAAACTCAAATGTCATACTAGTTTGGTTTTTGTGGATTGTTACATTTCAATATTGTACAATGTATTTCCCATTAGAGTGAATGCACAAAATGTATTGCTGAAAAATGCTATTAAAATAAAACGTATACAATCGTCAAGTCAAGTGAAGTTCTTAGGAATATGCCTTTTAAATAATACACAATTTTAGGTACCATCTTCATGTGTGGGTACAATAAGTTGGAAACGAGTTAAGGCAATGCACGTCAATTATAAATGTAAAAGGAGAAGGTAGTTGTGAATATGACCGGTGAAATTCATGAGTACTAACAGGATTTTTGAAAGTTAGAAGAGAAATAAATGAAAGCCAAGAGGTGAGTTTTCTAAATATAGTCTGTTTAAAAAACTAAACACTTATTTCAAAAAGAATAAGCAAAATGAAATGTGGAGAGGCGATCCACAGTTAATTTGAAAATAATATTACATCGACATGAAATTTCACAATCTATTTACATTTGTGAAGTTGATAAACATGGGATTTATTGATGGCGAAAGCAAGTTTTTGAAATAGTTAAAACTATATTATTTGTGATAAAACAAAGGTTAGCCCTTTATCTAAAACTCTGAACATATTAATCATATAAACAAGATTTTGACGTCTATAGAAGAATTAAAATACTTTGCTTAGAAAATGAATTCTTTTTAGATCTGTGACCTCCCCAATATATGCTCCAACCTGTACTGGCTTTTTGTTTAGAAAAATAACGCCTAAAAACATTTGTATGTTTCTCTATTTCTAGCTGCTTTACTTAAATCTCATGAATATATTTTTTTTTAATATGTTTTTAGTGATGCGGCAATGTAGCTCGTCGTATCGGATGTCTGGTTTGGATCGTCGAACGAACGTCGATGTTCAGATCCTGAGTGCTGCTAGTAAGGCAATCGCAGACAAATGTTTCTGGAACGCTTGCAAGGCGTTGTCTTTCGGGCTGTTCTTGATGGCTATTGGCGCCATCATGGCTATAATCGGTAAGTTTATTATTGTTGTACATAAAGCATAGTTATGTAACACTGAATCGCCAATAGAAAAGCCCCGATTAAGACCTTTCAAGGCCCGGTTCTAAGTCATTGAACAGTGTAAACAATTGTAGTTTTAGTAAGCGTTAGATTGCGTAGAGTAATACACCAGGCGCTTTAAAATACTAAAGGGGTCCAAAATTCAAAATGGCCGACCTACGGTCACAAACATGTTTTTTTCTAAAATGGAAATCGTGTATTTTTTGCCTACAATAAAAAAAAAATGTTCTCAACAAAACTAACGACTTTTTTAGGAAAAATTGTTCGATAAAATCCATAGTTTGTTAGTTTTTTAAAGCCATTTTTCAACACTGTCCGTCTGTAATTTCGTTATCAATTTCCCGACACCGTTTTCATGACGGTGGTAAGAAACTGCTGATAATGACCCTCCAGATAAGAGATTGTCTCATCTGTTGCCCGATTTGAACTGCACTATAAAAATTAAAATAGAAGATATTTCTATGAAAAATAATTAATTATCGTTCAAAAATAATAATTCATCAATACGTATACACGCGGTCCCTTTGTAAAATATTGCTACTTCCAAGAGGTTATTGGTCCGTTTTTCCAAACGTCCTGTTGTGTTCAAAAACGATAAATCTCTTTATGTGGATTATTAATATGGCCAAGTATTTGTATTCAATAAATTAAATCCTATCTGGAATAAAATAAATAATAGTGTAGGCAGTAGGTATTAAGGTAATATGTTTTACTAATGTAATGAACTGTAGAGTCCAATACAAACACTATCTTAACATTATAGGAAATATAGTAATTAAATGATTTAGACTTTAGTAAAACAAATAAACTGCCAAGATAGATTTGATTCAATTTAATATATCACTTTTATAAACAGTACTTGCACGGGTAAAACAAATAAGAGCAATTGAATACATACTCGCTGTTTCATTGGGGTTTTATAGTACAAGAATGCAAGCTAGCATATCCTAATACTTGTGGTAAACAAGTATTAACAACGTCATTTACATAGAATTGAGTACAATAATAAAATGCTTAAATGCTAACTAAGTATTACATCTTAATTAAAATCTACCCAAAACAACAGTAAGCAATAATGTTTTACACGTGCCATGGTCAATATTGTATCTCAAGGAGATCTGACCCTTACATCCCCCCGATAAAATGAAAAACATATGTGGACGAAGTACACAGATGTTTTTCGTACCAATAAGAATATAATATGAATATAATAAGAAATATAATGGTTATATTTTATAAACGTGGATAAACCGAGTAAAAACGGTTTGGAATATGAAATGTAGCACGAGGCGTGTTATGGTATGGTATGGTATTGCTACATTACTGTTGAGATGTTCGTTCCGAACATTTTGACGCTCATTATTAACAAATGAATGTTCAGTATGAACACATGGAGGTTCATTGTTAATATTATTTACACTAATACTTTCGTTAAGTATATTAATATTTTCATTGTTTACATTAACCGTTTCATTGTTTATGTTGAAATTACGACCAGTATGTCCTTCAACTGAACGCACGGTCTCTCTTGTACTTACAATTTTTATGATAATGAATACAATAAAAATTAATTTATTAATAATTAGTAATATAGTAAGAACAGACAAAAACAGACCA